CTATGGTTTCATTAGTAAAACTTTTAGTGATCTTGGGCAAAATTAGTTAATTCCAGCCCTGCCGATCATGATTCCGAAGTATTCCGGCCCGGAATTTTGGGGATCCCCCCCTGTATGAATTTACATGTAACCCTACTTATGGATTGATTTACCGATTTTATAAGCGAAATACGGTATAACAAATCATTTGCGAGATCAATTTTACAAGGGTTAAGGCTAATCAATTTACAAATTTTCGATTTTTTGATTACTGCACGTTATTTTCCCGGAAGACATAATGTCGACTAAATCAGCCTGCATTATAGCTATCGCTAACGCCAACTGGCTTTATCAGAGTTTAAAGTTCTCTTGGGAGTTACCATAAAAAATTACGATTCACATGTCGATCATTGCACTAATTTGGACAAATTATGCGAAATTTTATAATGACCAAACGCAGGAATAAAATTTATACTCTGTCAAACATAATGGGAAACATCAAAGATAAAACACTACCTTTTATTCCATCTTATCTTCGTAATAGTCCCTTGGATATTTTTAATAGAACTGCTAAAACTCCAATACTATTACCAACTAAATGTAAAAATGATCGTATAAGATACGTACAAATATTAGATAACGAGTTAGGCATTATATACACTGGTAAATATAGATATACCGGTTGAATTCATCATATCGTACTATTATTAACATTATTATTTTTATAAATTTTAGGAGGAGGATTCGCCGCTGCTGTTAGAGCAGATCATCCTATTTCTAGTATTGTTGGTATTTATTATTTTGAAATTGACATTTTAGATGGCGGCGAGCTTAAGTAATGTTATTTTTATTCGTGAAAATCATAATTTTTTTAAAAAAGAAGACATTAGTGCTTACCTTTCTCATATCTCTATTGAGATTTTAGTTTAACTGGTATTGGCGTTGCTAGCGGGAGCTTTATTCTTTACAGACAACAACCAGGTTTTCTTTTTTTTTAAAAAAAAACCAATTTTCTTAAATCCTGGAATTTGAATAATAAATTCAAAATTTTCTCTCCCCAAGGATTGCACCATAGATCCATAGGATATCATGGTAGAAACGGTTTTATCTATTTTGGTGGGGATCGAGGAAATCAATATGGACCTTTGTATTCAACAGGAGATACCATTGGATGTTGTCTAAATTATTATGATCAAACCATTTTTTATACAAAGAACGGAATTAATTTAGGTCATTTTTTTAAAAGTTACCGCCCTTCTTTTTAAGTGAGGAGTTTATAAAATTCAGATGTATTTTTCTTTTTTTAAAGGAGTCGCTAGCACAAGAGTTTTTCGGGAAAGATTGTATCCAGTAATTGGTATTGGAACTCGTGGTGCTCGAATTGAAGCAAATTTTGGAGCAAAACCTTTTAAGTTTGATATAGACTTTTATGCAAGAGTAAGTATCATTATATAAACTTTTAATATACTGTAAGTCAATGCCTTATTATGTTAACATGGTCAAAAAATATAGTCAATTTTAGCGAAAGTTATGAAGCAAAAAATAATCATCACTAATGATTATTCATCTGAAACAGAAGATTCAGATGAGGATGTTTGTTGTTTACGAGTTTTGGATTAATAGTTATTTGCATGATTATATCGTTTACAAGTGAGCAATAAATTATTTGAAACAGACTTAAAAAGCGCCAACTTGAACTGATGTGAGCTTTTTATTGTATGAAAATGTTTTACTTCGTGTATTTAAACAATGTTTATTATTACGAATCAAAAATAATAAGAAATAAATAAAATTATTCAATATGTAATTCTTATATGTGTATATACATTATCGTTATATATTTTTTATATTATTATAGTTCAAATTATACTACTTTTCACGAAAAATCTGATAAGAAAATAGTCAATATGATATTATTAATATTTCCACAAGAAATCATGCTAACGATGAAATTCAGGTAATGCATTTAGTCTCTTAATAATTACTTCAAGAGAAGATAACCAACTTTCATATTGTTGATACACTTTTTCTTGGTCATTACCAAGTTTTTTGAAAAACTCATGACGATACGGACATGCTTTTATGGCAACCTATTGTGATATAAAGAAAATTGAATTTAGATGTCTAATAATAATTTATTAATTTATTATTAAGTAAATAACTTACCCTAAATATGGGTCGAAGTACGATACTATGATGTCGTTCCAGGGTTATTTTGTATGATTCAGTAAAAGACACTGCAAGTTCTTCATTAGGATCATTTATTGACCTTCGTAAACCAACGGCAATAAATTCAATTTGTCTGATAGTTGAAAGAATTATTTTAGCAAAAATAAAAATATCCGATATAATATCCGATATAAACATATATCAAAATAATTTACCTTGTTAATAATCCTAAATAATGAATATTGTTTGTTTTGTATTCTGATTCATCGTGTTTAATTAATTTTTCAAGAGTCATGTTTTTCGATTTATTATGTTCAAATCGTTCTCTAAGATTCTAAAAAATACATGAAATACCATTAGAATATGAAAATATGAATGTTTGAATGTTATAAATGATTATTACTTTGATATTACTGTTCATTTCACCTCGAAAAAATTCAAAAACTTCAGGTCCGATTATATCTAATCAAAAGTAATTAATTAATTCCATGTTCTAAATTTTCATTATCAAACACCTAACATACCGATCAATTTAACTGACTCGTGAGTAGCATTTAGAAACGTTATAGTATCTATACCATCTTCAGTTATAGGCACGTCACAATAACTTATTGTAAGATTATCGAAGAAAGTTGAATCGTTCATTTTTAACATTGTAATGTGTAAGATTGTAAATGTGGATGTTTAAAGATGTGGATATTTAATATGACGCCTGGTAATATGATGTTGTCGAATGATTTTTGTGGGTGCATTTTTTTGAGGCCTTTTAAGTATTCATCACGATAGATTGTACCACCACACAACTCGATCTGCAATTTGTTTAAAGTGCAGAAGTGAAACGGAGAACACATCCCGATATATGCTAATGTATATGTATATGTATTAAATGGATTACTACTACATACATTTTTCCGTTTACACTTCAAATCCAAATTACGTCATAAAAATAACATATTACTGAAGCTAGTGATTAGAAAACTTTTTGTGATTATGAATAGTCCATTCGTACAGGGTTTACATTTCATCCTTAATGAATTACGATTATTTTGGATCACGAAATTTGATTTAAAATTATCAAAAATCAAAGATTAATTTCGGTCAGTGTATTTATTTGCTTCCACCTCACAGGTACTTATGTATGTACCAATCATTGCATATCTTATTTTAGTAAGTATTTGATTTGTATAAAATTCTATAACGATAAATAGGATCAATTATGGTAATAATGATCCGGAATATTTATTGTCATTGAATTTTACAATGTCATCTGCCAATGGTCAATATTTCGTAATCTTTTGCACAAAATTCTCGGCCGTCAACAGCATAACTCATTCCCTGCTTCAAATGCTAACAAAAAGTTATTATGTACGTAGAAAAGAACAATTGATTGCATAAATGATTTTTTTGGTTGACTTACCCAACCGGCTTTTCCATAAATATAATGACCATTATGCAGCGTTCTTGCTACATATAATTCACGTTGATCCTATTAAACCATACATATTTAGCAATATCGATAAATAAGTTATTGAAGCTATAGCTTACCGATTCGTGACCTGCTTCAAGAGGCACAACCCATAACGCTGGCTTATAGGGTCCATGACTATAAAAATAAGAAAATTCTACCAAAGTAAGATTTCATTATGGTAAAATAACTCCGTTATACTTATTACTCGAAACCTGAAAACCTTTCCGAAATTTCGAACTAAAAATATTAATTAGTGTATGTTTCTATAAAGTATATTACAGTACAGTAAACAATATTTTGGAAGATTATTGTATATCTAGCTTTAAATTTTTAAAAACTTTAAGGTTTTGAGTAATAAATACATACTAAGATTTTATCAATTTGGTCAGATGACCAACTATATTTAATTGTCCAAGGAATTATGAAAATTCATTTACCGCCTAATCCACTGGAAGTATTCAAAATTACCACAAAGTATTTCATAATCTTCAAGAACGATCTCTTTACCACCATACCCAATAATCAATCCTCTACCAATTACAACACGTCCAAGTTGTAAACTCGATTCATACCACCCTCTTCCAATTGCTTCTCCATTGTCGTTAAAGAATGCATCGTTAGGAAAATGAGCATTGGCAAAAGTAGAAGAAGGTTCCCATCGTGCTGCCTATATTTAAGGAAGCATAATGGTTATATCAGTAATTTATAAATAGTGAATGAAAGTGCAAACTTGAAAAAGTCGTGTAGAAAGTACCCAATGTGGTTTGGCTGCTTTGGATAACATGAAAAATATAATTTTAAATTTTATTAAAATAAACTTTTATTTTTATTGTTATTTATTTTATTGTGTATTTTAGAAACGATATCGATATGAAAAGATAAATATTCTGTAATTTATACTGTAATTTTTTCAATGATATCAAAGATATTTTAGTTGAATTGATCACTTGCGATGAAAGATGAAATGATGCATTCATGTTTTAATTTTGATCACGTAAAGATGTGTTTATGAATATCAAAGAATAGACAGAAGCAATTCCGATCTCGTGATTTCGACGATAAGATCGATCGTTTGATATCAGAATGACCAGCTTAGTAAGTAACGATAAATACAGAATTTTCGGGTGAAGTTTTCGGCCAGAAGTCGGTTAAAAAGGTTGTTTTCTTGAACAATTCCTTCCGAATTCACCCTTCACCCGACCAACTCATCAAACTCTTCCTAAAACACCGAATATTTTAGCAAATAATGTTAGTTCTTTTTTTGGCTTAGTGTAGTATACCCGTTTTATTCGGTCCTTATTGGTCTTTTATCCTGTTTAAATACCATAAGTTCTATTATTTGCGACAAGTACAATATAACCTCGATAAACCGAATGTGTTATTATAACGAATATTTTTTCTAGCTAAAAATGTTTTTTAGTTTAAATTACCTCGATATAAAGAATTTTAATTAATACCTGCATGGATAAAGCGAAATATTTATAGTATAACGAAACTTGTTTAACACTAAGTTAGAATTCAGGAAATATTATATAACCCGAATTTGTATATAAGAACCCTAATGTAACGAAATATGGATATGACGAAACAAAACCTTGCTCCAGAGCTTCGTTATATCGAGGTTATACTGTATTTCGTTTGTTACTTTTTAGCGTCACTTATGAGCCCCAAAAACCATATCTCTACGATAAAAATTTTAGATGTAACAAATCGGGTAGTTGATCTGCATCAACCAACCGTGTCCGGTTAAAGTCAGGTACCAGTTTGGTTACTTTTTTGATTCAGTTAGGTTAGTGGGTTATATAGATATCAAGAATACAATTTATGCAGCATGTAGATCATTATATGAATGTACCTGACCCCTATATTTGTTAGCAAAACAATACGTTCAAAACAATAAACGTGTCAAAAAAAAGTAAATCTACTACAATTTCACCCGAAATAGTCAAATGCGACGAGTTTTTTCGTGTTGTTTTCCGAAGATGAATCCACTATAAGTATGGGTCATTCAAAAGTTATTCGTTTTTCTTTAAATTATTTATTCGAAAAAGCTTTTTTGACTCCCTACCTGAGAAACCACTTAATATCGCAGAAGGTATTGCTTACGTTTCTTTAGGAGGCCAAACGGCTGAACGGTTAAGAGAGCTAATGGCGGCTTTCTTTCGAATAGTAAGCTCTTTTACTTAAACATACAATGTGTGCCGAACTCTAGGCCTTTGAGATAATTTGCACTCGTTTGTTGGGGACCTTGGTTAATATTCCATGATATTGGGCAATGTTAACCATGTTATCTATTACTAAGGATACAACTCTGGGTTATTATAAACCTAGTCATAGGATACACTGCTACATGGTAACTAGGACGAATAAGCTAACTGTTTAGCTGAAACCAAGTATCCTTCTAGGTAAGTGGTTTATTATATATTAGTTTGTATTTTTTGTATTGTTGCGAGTCATGGTATTTCAAGTTATATGGACTAAAAATTTTTTTGTTTATCTTGTTTCTTTATGTTAATGCTGTTTTTTTTTTTGTTTACTAACCCAGTTTTAGTTAATCTAGCTATTGTTTACTAGTTTTGTCATTGTTATTTAGTTGTCACCGATATTGTCGTTGGTTGGTGCTTTCCTTGGTGTTTTCGTCATTTGGTATTGTTGGGAATATTTTAGATTTTCGTTATTACGATTTCGTAATTAGTGGAGTTCTTATATTTTCGTCATTTTGATATCGTCATTAGTAGAGAGTTTGTCACCTCGATTTCGTGCTTTTAATGTTGTTATTATTGGATTTTTGTTAATGTATCTTGTTAGGTTCAATTTTATCGTCTTTGTTTGTATTGTTGTTGGTTTGAATTTATTATGTTGGTGTGATTTTAGTGCTTTAGTTAATGCTGGTGCATCGTGTTAGGTCGTCTCATTTATCAATTGGTCTTATTTTCAAACTATTAAAGTAATTAAGGTTAGTCTAATTGAAAGTTAAATCTCACCGATTTTCTGTTTTTTATTATTACTTGGTTGAAAAAATTTTTTATAACTATGTATTACTAGATTATAATTGTCAAGTAATAACGATATGTGAAAAATATATCATGTTATCTAATTAAGCAATTTGATTTGTGCTATTAACAGCTATTTTAGTTATTAGTGTTTAACAGTATCTGCACCGGTACACTATATCGGAAATTATCATATAACGATCAGCATTTAAATATTTAGGCGCATTTAAATTTTAGGTTCAGTGATTTTTGTTTTTGTTTTTTTTTTTGGCCGGTTTGTTTTCTTATTTACTGTTCTTGAAGATGACAATTTCAATGAGCAGTATAGCCTTGGATACTTCTACAAAAACTGTATTGATGCAACTGAAGATGATACAAAAACGTTCAAATGATATCGAAGGTTGCAATTTGAATAGATCAAATGGCTTTGAAACCTGCTATAACGAAAGGTATTTAAAGGTGATTCCGATAATCAATATAGCTTTTAATTCCACATGGAAGGGGCATAATTATAGCTAAGAACAAAAAAAAGGCACTTGTGTGATATTGAAATCTTCCAATGTTAATAATTTCAAAGTAAAATGTAGTTTTAATTTGGCAATGAAGATGGCATATTCAAAGCTAAGGATGAAAAAAAGATGTATTAAATATGCTAAGGGTGCAATTTAGTTGATTATCGTAGTTTTTAATTTTGCAATAAAAAGAACATATATTAATGGCAATATAATTTTGGATTCTGTACTAGAGTTGCTGGTGAAACTAAATAATGATAATGAAACTGATGACTATTTAAATTTTGATTGGCTGTTATATTAAGCTTCACCAGTTTCGCTACCATTCACCAAGAGTTTTACTGGCAACTTTATACTTACCAAAAATGTAGTCCGGCTTAAAGACACATAAATGATATTCGAAAACTGTCAGAGGTATGATCAATATAGTCATATATCCTCTAATTTTGCAATAGAAGGGGCATAGTTACAGCTAAAAATGTAAGAGGCATTTGAATAGCTTTTGCTCAGAATGAAAAAAAAAGATATAAACGAAGATGTTGATGAAAGTAAACTAGAGTAGGAAAAAATAATTTCACCATTATTAGTGTAATTTCTACATATGAGTAGTATTTGGGATTTGCCTGAAGTACCATTCTAATGATCAGTAAAGCACTGATTCTGCAATGAAAGAAGTGTAATCATTAAAAAGAGACACTTGTGTTGTATATAAACTTTGCTGAAGGTGATGAGCGATGGGATCAGAGCCAGTGGATTTTAGTAGTAGCAAAAATAGCACTAGCGATATCACGACAATCACATAATCAAATCTGACTGAAATTGTTTTATTTTAATTCTACAAATTTATAAAATTCAAATAAACCAATTTCGATCAAATTTGATATGTAGTAGTTGTCGTGATATCTCTAATGCAATTTTTGTTACTGCTAAAATCCACTGGCTTTGGATGTGATCTTGGATTCTGCATAATCACAGCTAAAGATAAGTATATAGTTGAATCTGAGGTTTATTATTGCGTAAAAATGTAATTTGTAATATACAGTGACTATTATAGTTTTTATATCATTAACAAGAGAGCTGTATTTATAACTTCACATTTGATATTCATATCTCAGAAAAACAGAATTTTTTTAAACTTTAAGCAAAGATATCCTGACGACTATATGATCAATCTTGATGAGTTTTTTTTATTTGAATTCTACAGGTTTGTAGAATTTAAATAAAAAAATTTCATCAAGATTGATCATATAGTCATCAAGATATTTTTACTTAAAGTTAGAGAAAATCAATCTTGGTAAAAAGTTTTTTATTTAAATTCTACGAACCTGTAGAATTCAAATAAAAATATTTATCAAAATTTATTATGTGATTGTTGAAATATCTTTGCTTGAAGTTTAAAATTTTTCTGTTTTTTTTGAAGAATATAAATACCAATTGTGAGGAGTATGAATACCAACCCTTATTAACAATTGCTTTTTTCTTGTTCTTAAAATTGACATGCTTTTCTGAGAAATTAATTGTTAGAAAATTCTGAAATAATAATAAGAATGCAAAATGAGCCAAAAACTTTATATGTTAAAATCGAAAAATGTATAGTAAATTATTGGTCATTATATTATTGAAAATTTCTAATTTTACACGAAGTGTATGTATATAAGTATTAATTCGCAAATGGAAGATACTAGTAAAAACCATGCAAATTGTTTTTAATAGGTTTTTTAAAGGTTTAAATTAAAATGGCCTTAAACAATTATTAAAGTAAATTTGATAAATTTTTATTTTGATTCTATAACTATATAGAATTAAATTAAAAATATTTTATTAAATTTGATTTAATAGTTGTTGAAATATTCGGATAGGATATAGTATAGGTGCCACCTACTTTAAACAAATTGATTATTTATTAAGGTGCCAGCTATACTACATTTTATTCAGATATTTTAATCTAAAGTTTGAAAAATTTACTTATAAACAATTTGCTTGGTTTCTACTGACATTATCAAATCTAATTAAAACAATAATGATCAAAAATTAAACCTTTGTTTATAGTTAAGGTAGGGTGGGTTAGAGATTGGAATGAGGATATAACTCATACCACAATTTTGAGAGAATTTTTTTCGATGGACCCAAAAGAAAGATTGTTTTATAATCGAAAAATTTAATTTTTAAGATAAAAATAATTGTTTAAAGAAAACAATATTACATTATACCTGCTCGTAAAATCTCATTGGTTTTCTATAATACCGTGTATTATACACTAGTGTACAAATAGAATTTTTTTTATTAAAAAATTGATTAAAATTATCAAATGTTTTTTAAAAAAACGTATATGCAATTTATTATGCTTAATATCTTTATTTAATAGGAATTATGTACTAATTTTAATCGGAGGTAGAACTATATCTCAAAAACCTATTAGACAATTTACTTCAGGATACTAAGTTAGGGTGATCATCAAACTAAAATCAAACATTAATTAGGGCCGCATATAAATATTTTTTATGAAATCCGAATAAAATCAACGCTTTTCTCTCGAACTAGTATAATAATTAATGGTCTAATTTTTTAAAAAAGATTGAGCAAATTGTATACTTTAATGTAATAAAGCCATTTTTCGATTTATACTATTTTATAAGTAGTAAATTCTTTAATAATGTAAAATAAATTTTATTTAATGAAAATTGTAAAACTGAGCCTATTGTTGAAAAGAGTATAATAAAAGCTATCGATTAAAAAAAAAATTGTCATAAAAAAATATTATTCGCTCAAAAAGTGTACCTTTAGGAGTAGGTCTGTTGATTAGTAAGCAATAAGAGAAACATTTAGACTAGATAGATAGAATAAGTGAATAAAAAAATCTATGGTATATTGCACTAATAAAGAAAACAACCTGTATAGTTAATTTTCCGAAATTTCCGAAATTATTAAAATAACCGATAAAAAATCCTCAATTATAAATAATGCATGTAACCCTACTTATGATTTAATTTACCAATTTTATAATTACCCTAATATATACCAAGTAAAACCTTCAAAATCTTAGCAATTATTTATTTTACTTAGAACAGAAATTGTAATTTAATATTTATAGATCTTGGTTAGTTATTTAAATTTTTGTTTGGTAAAATGTTTAAAGCAGTTTAATAACAAAAAAGTCAATATAGATAATAGTTTTAAAATCAAGAGCAGAGTTTTTTTAGAAGTTATACAGACCAAATTAGCAAATATAATTGGTGTTGCAAAATAGCTAGCCAATAAAATTTGCTAATTTTGGTTCATGTAACTACCAAAAGACCCATATTTAAGCTTTAATTCTAGCAAATATTATAAAAAACAAGTTTATGGATATAAACTTTATCAAAATAAGTTATATCAATTGATAAGGTATTAGTAATTATATATTGTATTACCTTTTATTTAAAAAATTTAAAGGGTATTTATAACTCAATTTCGGAAATGTTGAGGTAATTTAATTATAACCGGAACCAGTACTGTATATAATGAATACTTTGATATTATCCCTGGTAAAAAAACATATCCAAATATCTTGCATGAGAAATAGTGAGTGGACTCGTCAACTCGTGACTCGGCGAAATTTTAAGTTACTCGCGAATTAACAAAATTTTTTACTAAATTCCAGTCACTAATGGGGAATGCTGAAAAAGAGAAAGATTTTAGACAGATTTACGATAAATTTGTATATTAATTTGTCTCCTTAACTGTGCTCACGAACTTTATTATTCTTTTGCATAATTATTGTAATCATTTCGTCCTTGCTTATATTTAATTATATTCACTATTTATTTTTATCACTCTTAAATACATCAATTCTATATTAATTACACCTTGCTTATCAAAAATCCCCCGAGTCCTTATTCTCCCTTAATTACTTTGAAGACCAGAATTTGGGAAAAGTGGTTTTAGAATAGAAGGTAGAATGCCATATTAGTATATGAAAGAGAATTGAGTATAATAAAGAAGTTTAGAGTAAGTACTTAACTACCAATCCTATGATGGCTATATCAAGACACGAAAACTATAACGCTAATGCTCGGACCAAATCTTTTTATGCCTTCATCATTTTAGGGTTTAGAGTCTTAGCGTTAATTATTCGTTCAGATTCGACTCGTGTCACTATCTCTCCGGGTTAGTTCAGATCCAGAACCAGTCTAGACACTTTCAATGTGTAACTTAGGCATATTTTTAATTGGTAATTGAATTAACTGGTCGGTTTATTCTATTACCAATTAAAATTTTGCACCCGATCCCATTTGATCACTTTAATCATTATCATTATAAATTTGATTTCAATTATAATTACCAGCCAAACCAGCAGCAAACTGGTTAAAATTTTCAGCAAGTTTTATATGACACATTTATTGAAATAACTTATTCTCGAAAAGTTTAAGAGTAGTGTTATAATATGACATAAGAAACTTCATATGAAAACGGCAAGACGCTAAAAAGGAAGTTAAATAATAGATTCATAATAACGATGTAATAATCGGATTTGATTTATAAAAAATCACATGATTCCGAAATTCGGAAGCTACTAATATGACGCTCGAGAACAAATAATTCTAGTAGTTGAAAATTCACGCAGACACATGAAGAGAAAACTACATTTGATTGCCTAAAAAGGAAAAATTAAAATTTGTTTATAAAAATAACTCGCGTGCCCTCTATCGAATATAAGTTAATCCCAAATTCACGTACTGTCCATGATTAACGAGCTTCCCCATCATACTTTTTGATTCGATTTTATATGTAATACGTATTAATACAAAAATTCCTAACCAATTTAATAGTACATTTTATTGTGCGTATAAAGTTAGTTATAATGCTGCGAATTACAGCATTTTACAGTGTTCATAAACTATCTCAGCATCTAATGATATCATGATATCGAATTTGGTTTAGCGGTTGTTGTGATGCTATTTTAAGTGCTGAATATGGTACAAACTTAAAGAAAGAAAACATAAGTTGTTTATCTCGGATCAGCCCGACATGTATGCAGAGCGAGGAAAAAGCAAGAATACAGAATACAAGAAATAAGTGCTTAAATCTTGTAAAATTAGTTAAAAATAACTGTTTGAAGTTTAGTACTCATCCTTTTCCTATAGCTGTCGATTCTAATACCCTAACTAAATCTTTATCCCGCTGTAATGAATATTCCGCCCTATCAAAAAAGGTTTACAGAATTTAAATGAATTATACGGAATATATATTTAGTATAATTCCATATTACATATGGAATTCCCGTAATTTATATATAAAAATGGCTAATAATTACGAAAGACTTGATGTATCGATTTGACACATATCATTATATATATGTAATGGACGAGAAAACTCATTGATTTTCTACATATAAATTTTTATTTCCGATCATCCAAAAATTCTCCCACTATTCCGGCTGGCCAAATTTACATTGTCTAGCTCGACTTATATTTTATGCTGCTCTTAATTTTGGCCGAATCATGTATATTGCCACACGACAGCGAATCCCAACAGACTAGCACTAACTTTGTTAATCATAATTATTGCAAAACAACTCACGCTTAAAAAAAAGATCAATTAAAAGCCAAAATTGTTTTAGTTGCTCACGAAAAACTTCAATTTGATGCACCTTATTTCGTTTTAGCATTAAAATCAAATTCCTAATTAGTCCATAACAAGAAAAAACTCATTCTGGACAAGTTTCATTAAAAGTGATTCTATACCACAACAAATTCTCGTCTTTTGTCGAATTAAAATCTTTTATATATTAAGGTTTGTATAAAAGGAAGCAATTACAGTACAATTATCTAACATAGTGATGCAGTAGAATCGTCCCAATAATAGTCGTCACATTACCATAACTTGCCGTAACTATAGCAAGTAATATAGTAAGTTACGGCTACGTAGAAGGCTATAACTTACTATATTACTTATTATAGTTACGGCAAGTTATGGTATGTGACGACTATCATTGGGACGATTCTACTGCATTACTAATTGAAACCTCCTCAAACTTTGAATTGGCAATATTGTCACTCGTATACGGCCTAATCTCCGATTACAATGCATCAACAATAATATATATATATAAGCATTAACAACCTCTTCTTTAGTTATTCATCCTTTTTCATCAATCGTAAATTTAAAAATAGATAGATGTTTTCTCAATCATTTTTAATATTTCTTATTATAACCTGGTTTTTACTCTTTTTACTTAAATGCCTTATCGTGGAGGCTCGTTTAATTGATGGTAGTGATAATAACGTTATATATCCGACCGCCGGAACTACGCAGCAACCTTTTTTAAGAGCCATTAGTTCTACAAACTTTAAGTAAGATTTTCAATTTTCCTATTCGAATTTATTGTTACCGGTATATAACGATAAATGATGATAACCGTAATTTATAATTTAGTCAGGATTCTTCTCCTGTAACATCTCCAACTGATTTTCTTGGTCTAAACCCGAATGGGTCAACAACTATTAAATGTACCGATAAAGTACCCACTGGCATGTACCCCATGCCACGATGTATATCAAATATAATGTGCAGTTATCATACTCAACTTTATGATGTTAATACATTATCAAGCTATCGTTCCTTCAGGCGGACTAGTCATTTTGTATGTACAACGAGAAATTTATTATCATCATTATCGTTAATAGTTACACCTCATTCACTGAATTCGCATTCATAGGTTACCTTTTTTGGCCAATATATTGTTGCCGACATCACGATATCGAGAAGCTCGAATCCAACATATCCGGTATTCTTACCGGCGGATGATCCGTTGTATAATCCAATCCCAAATTCTACTGTGTCTCCGTACCAAATTAATGTACCTTTTTTACCGGCTAATCGATCTGATGGTAATAATGATACTAATCCGACAACGCGAAATCCACTTCTTAGTGGAGAAAATCTTGTCACCCCTTTTCTTGATTTAAATAATATTTATGGTATTAGCGATCAAGATGCGATTGGCAGACTTCGTGATACTTCATCCAATAGGGGGAAATTAAAGACCTCTATAATTAATGGAGAGCATTATCCTCCAAAAAATGCATCTAATGGAAAATATATTTGGGGTTCTACTTCGGATCGCTCATATAATATATTTGTTTTGGCTATTCAGACAATTTGGATACGAGAACATAACCGATTGTGTGATGAATTATACCAAAAATATGGTAATTCCTGGACTGATGAGCAATATTTTCAAGAAGCAGTAAGTTATTATTTTCTTTAATTAATTTATTAATTTAATCGACTATTAATGTTCAAATAATTTTGAATTTAGAGGCGTTGGGTTATCGCTTTCTTTCAAAAGACAGTTGCTGAAGAATATATTGGCGCTGTTCTTGGTCGCCCTTTACCAGTCTACCAGAAATATAATCCTAATCTTAAGCCAGGTTTGAGATATCGTTCCCCATTACTACATAATGAGCCAACTCTAAGTTTATTATTAAAGTGTTTCATTCTTATATTCTGATGTTTATAGGAATTGATACGTTCTTTTCAACTGTCACATTCCGATACGGTCATAGTGAATTAAGGTTGATGTTTATACATTATTATTTTTTTTTTTTTACCGAAAAAATATCTAATGAATTCTCGAAATTATTTAGCGATTTTTACAGAATTCAAGATGAATATGGTGATACCCTTTATGATTTGGTTTTGAATGATCTTAAAAATCTCACACTTTTAGAACAACTTGGTCTAGAAAGAGTACTTTGGTCATTAGTTCTTCAACGTCAGGAAGAAGTTGATATTTTCCTTTCAGATTCGACTAAAAAATATATTGCCCCTGACCTCGTTACTTATGATATAGCAGCTTTTGACATCTTGAGAAGTAGAGATCGTGGTAAGATATCTGTCTAAACATTTAAATTGAAATTCTTAAATTGCATCTTTTAAAAATAATATTTATTGTTGTGAATGTTATTATAGGTATTCCTTTATATAATGTAGTACGACAATATTTTGGGTTTCCTAAAGCTAAGTCATTTGCTGATATTTCTACAAACCATAATGTTCAAGCAAACTTGGCCAAAATCTACCCAAATGGTAAATATGGCTACTTATTGTTTATTAATGAGTTTTACTATGACAATTAGTTTACGAATTATGGCATTCTAGGTGTTGATTCAGTAGAGGCATGGGTTGGCGTAATGAGTGAAGACCATTTAAATGGTTCAAATTTTGGTATGGTCATGAATGCAAGTATGGTAACACAGGTAATGGATATTTTATTTTTTATTTTATTTATTTTTATTTATTTTTTATTTTTTATTTTTGGAATAATTTGTTTTTATTATTTGTTTAAGTATGTGCATATTAGAGATTCTGATAAATTTTGGTTTGAGAATCCTGATATGTTTAATTCAGATGAACAAAAAATTATAAGAAATACAACTTTCCGAGACATTATTATTCGTAATCTTAATAAGAGTGTAAACTTTCCACAAAATATTTGGGCTGTTCAACCTCAAATGAAACTTAATAATAGCGATGATGACAATTATCCAAATAAGATTAGTAGTTGGACACAATATATTATAAGTTATAGGATTGATTTAGCATATGTGTACTTTAAAGTTCAACTTCAAACATCTGACGGTAATGGATGGTTCGGAATGGTGAGTATATATTATTTTCCTATTTTTATTTCTTAGTTTTTGTGATATAATTTAAGAGACCTGCCAACATGGTCTGAATATAAAAATAACCTAAATTTATACAGAAACCCAAGAAATAAATTGGTTTTAACATTCACTTATTTAGCTCATTAATTATATTAAATAATTACAGGGGTTTGGTCCTGATGATGACGGAATGAAAGGAGCAGAATTTATTATTGGCATTGTAAGTTATATTGAAATATATATATTATACAAAATATATTGCATAAAGACAGGAGGTGGTCTTATTACCTAAAAATTCTTATATTTTATTAAAGGTTACTAATGGAAATGTCACATTAGAAAATTATTATGCTGATGTGGGTGGTTATCACCCTCCTCTTCGCGATTCTAATCAAGACCCCGATCTTGTACCAAAGTTCTCTATGTCTGATAGTAAAGCTGTAACCGTAGAGTTTAAAAGACTTCTCCGTCCTCCAGGAAGAAAACCAATTACAAATGATGATATGAAATGTGTAATATCTATTTTATTAGATTTTATAATACTTAAATTAAATATTTATTACTTCTTCTTATATACACAGACATCATGGCTTATAATCCAAATAGTAACGCTTTCTCCTATCATTTAAATAATCGCATGTTGTTCCGTGTGAACTTTTATAATAGTGAGATTAGCGCTGCAGCTGCGACAATGTTTCAATTATTAATTAGGGTTATTCATGGTTGTGGAATGTTCTTTACATGGTGGTAAATATAATTCTTTTTCTATTCCTCGTAAATCCTCATAAAATCTGATAAATTATATAGACAATAATCTTTATTATGATTTTAGCATCTTATTTCCAATATCAATTTTTATTGTTCGGTACTGTAAGGTAGACTTTATACTATATCATTAAGATACTTAATATATTTATCACTAGTATTATATATTAACATAAAATGATTGTTTTATAGCATTTTAATATGTACCTCAAAATTCATAAATTTATACAATTGGTGGGTGGTATTTCAATTTCAGCATTCGGATTTGCTGCTATATCTACGGTGATAAAAACGCAAACACCACATGCATGGTATTATTTTACTTATGTTTATTATAACTATAATATTTTATCTTTGCTTGTATTTCTATTATGTATTATTGTTTAACTATTCATAAACGTTAGGATGGGGTTGTTTATATTTGCTATTTCATTTATTGAAATAGGTATTTATTTAGTGGATATAAGCTTTACAGTTAATTTATTTATAATTAATTGTTGAATATTTTATAGGCCTTGGATTAATTGCTGTATGGGGACAAACATCTGTGATATCAGTTAATAAGGTTTGTTGCCATTTTGATGTTTATTGCTTATTAGTTTAGTTAATCGTGTTAAATCATTTGGTAGGGGTATCCAAGGTTTACAAAACGCTTTCATCAAGTATTTGGTATATTGTTGTTAATATCTTCATGGTAAATATTCATTGAAATTATTGTTCTATCTTTATTGTTATTATATACTGAATTTTTTTCCAATTTCTTTTTTCATTTACTAATATAAAAATTATAGGATTAATATATATACTGGTGACTAATTAAGTAAAACTATTATATAGTTTATAAATTTAATCTAATGGTCTATATATTATTTATTTTTAGGAATTGATACCTTTTGTCTTTCCTATGGCTAGTAAGTATAATTATTTCAATAGATTTTTAATGTATCTTTTTACTTTGTATTTTTATTTATCAAATTTTACTACAAATAGTGAATCATTTTGGTGGAAAATTGTGTACTTGTGTTGGATAGCTATGATTGTTATTTTCTTCTTAATTGGCGAATTTTGGTGGCGTTTCGAGGAAATTTTTCAGAAAATTCTCTATTTTAGAGATAAGGCAATTATTGAACGAAAAGTTATGATGCATGCTTATATCAATTATGAAGATTACGCTAAATTACCTGAATTTACTTGGGAAGAAATCAATGAGAGAGTTCAACGTGGGGTAAGTTAAATTATTTTATCACTGATGAAATATAAAATCTTTTGCGTGCTTTTTTTAACTAATTAACTTATGTTTCACGATTTAGGCTTATTTGGTCGTTTGCGACGGACTGGTGGTGGATATTCTTGATTGGACTTATTCGCATCCAGGTCGGCATTTTTCCGGTTATTATTTCTTGCACCAATTTAACATCTAATAATACCTCCACTTAATAGGAGGTAGAAAAATATTAGTAAATGTATTTATAATCTTTATTTGATCATTAAATTGTTTACATTAATTAAATAAATTTTAATTAATTATACCATTATTTTATTATTATTATTAGGTTATTGGAACAGATATTACGGATGGTAAGAATTATTTAGGTTTTTTTTTTTTGAAAAAAAGTTGCTAATTAATGAAATAATAAATAAATATTCAATTTTTTGTAGATTTTTACAACACACACCAAAACACACAAATTTCTGAAGAAATAGATTCCCCAGAAGCTTTACTTATTCCAAAGGATAATTTTTCTGGAAATTTTTCGTCTGTGCTTACAAAATATATAAGCCACCTTCAAAGAGAACAAATTCCTCAAAAATTATCTACAATTCCCAAATTAATTGATAACATTAACAAAATGTATTATCTAAAGGCACCGTTAGCACAACATACTCATAGTAGATTTGCTACTCAAAAAATGGCATCAATGGTAATAGGCAAAGTGGTTGAAAAACCTTTGGCCCAAAATGATAAAAGCACTTTTTCAGAAATTCATGAAAGCGAGAAGAGTTCTGTTGAATATAATAAAACATCTACAAGTACAATCAAAAATATTCAATTTCATCGTTATAAGCTTACAAGTAAAGTAATGGTCAATGCAAATATCAAATATCCTGTAATAAGGTTTACATTTTCTAGAGTGCATCAGGATAAGAAAAATGTTAACAATCAAAAATTTTTACCCGGGGATTATATTGAGATGCAATCTAGAGTAAAAGGCCAGAATGTGATCAGGAGTTATACTCCCATACAAGGCAGCTTATTTAAATCATTTTCAATTTATGTTAAAATTTATCCTTACGGGCTCTTTTCTCAACATTTGGTATATACATGATTATTTTAGTATTATTTTGAATGTGATTATTTAATATCACATGTAGAACAATAAACCTTTTCGACAAGTATTCTTTCAAAAATCTTTGGTGTGACATGCAATCTTTCCAGATATCTTTTAAACATATAAAGGGATGTGAAAAGAACATAAAAATACAGATTACACTAAAGGTTTTTGAAAAAATACTTTAGAAAAAAGTTCATGTTCTACCTTTGTATTATATTTCTTTATAATAACCATGTTTGATTATTTAGAATGAACAGTTAATAGGATATGAAATTCAAGTTCGTGGTCCATTTGACGTTTATAATAGACCTAAACCATGCCTTATGTCATTAAATTCAACACAATACTTTAATTGGGGTGCGGGCTTTTTTTCTCCCATGAGTCCTTACAATATACCTATTGGACCACCCAGAATTTCGTCTCCTATGAAAACTTCTCTATTAAACCCAAATAGTTCGGATGGCTGCTGGAATGAATTATACATGATTGCCGGTACCTTTTTTTGAATTTTCGATTGAATGCCACACAACCTACTATTTTTTTTCTGATATAACCACTACATTCTTAGGTGGCACCGGAATAACGCCAATGTTGCAGGTATCAATGATTTTCTGCGGTGGCATTTATTTACTTTTAACAACAAATAAACTATAATTTAATTCTAAATTACAACAGTTAATCAAGTATCATCTGAAACAGTCAGCAGAACGAAATAATGACTTTGAACAAAATGTTAATTCTAAACGAATGCATTTATTATTTGGAAATCGTAAAATTGAAGATATTATTGATGGTATATTACTTGAAGATCTGGCACTTTCAAGCAGGGGACAATTTACTGTAACGTACTGTCTTTCAGATCCACCTTCAGATTGGGTTGGTTTTGAAGGGAAAATCAGCCAACAAGTAATACAAAACTGGATGAATATAATGCGGGGTGAAAACATGTCTCAACCATGCTCAGAGAGTAATGATTATACACATATTCAAGATCATTATATACTCTATAACTCAAACGAACATAATAAAAGCCCTTCACCGGAGATCAGTTCTAGGTCACAATCACCATGTGAAATTTCGCAGAATTCGCCGCTTTTATCCTATAGAACAACGGATGCACAAAGTTCTGAAGTAGAACCAAAATCAAGAAAAATAAATGCATCAACGGAAAGATCGAGAATACCTAAAAAAATTAATCTGGATTTAGTAGCTCCTATGAAATGGAATAATGTAATGCAAGGGAAGATTTTTGTTTGCGGACCAACTAGCATGATGATTGCTGTTGAAAAAGCTTTGCTTAATATGGGATATAATGAACAAAATATTACTACGTTATATTAGATTTGTTCGATATTCAAAATTTTCTCGGAAATCAGATTGTTATGGATAGCGAACTTTCACTATTATTGGCTGATTTTGTAGATCAACCCGTGACATTGCAAAAATTTTATTGGCTAATCGAAATCGCTTTACAAGAAAGATTTATTCTACGAAAATATTTTATTTGCAATAATAAAAGTGTTTATTACCAGATATCAATAACTCAAAGAACATCAACTCACATAAACAATATTCTATAAACCAAGTTCTTATTAACCACACGACATTAAAAACAAAAAGCATGAAACCAGGAGACTAATAAAAAAATTTAAACAATAATGTCCAGTTCTATTGAAGCTAAACCAAATTAGCCTTAATATTCTTAGAAGTAACATTATGTTTTAACGCTAACCTCATGGAATCTATATGCTTACGTTTTATTGCTTCGTGTCACTGACCTATTCTACTATAATACTGTCTTTAGTATTATAATTAAATTATAAAATAAATTAGCGAATAAACCTTTTGAAATTAAATTACGTACCAAACTTCAATAGACTCATAAATTATATGTGGGACCCACCGCAGCAAACGGTGAATGAGCCAACTAATCAAATTGTGGGAGTTTATAATAATAATATATTTAGGGAATAAGTATTTCCACTCTCGATTTTGGACTTCCCAACAAAAAATTACTATGTAATTTTTACGCTCACGTGATGATCGACGAAGCTAAACCAATAATTAGAATTTATTTTCTTAATTCGAATTTTTATAAGCTGAATTAATTCGAATATTCAATGAATTGAATATACGATTCCAACCTCTACAATAATGAATTTCGATTTAGTGTAAACGTTGCGTGATCAGAAAAATACAAAACAAGGCTTCGTTTTGACAAAATCTCGAAATATGCATAGGAAACCACCTTCTATGCCTTAACAAAAAGTTTTCCTTGAAGAATTTTACTATTATAACCACCTTAATATAGACTCTAATCCTAACCTAACCGAATTTAAAGAATTTTGTTTGATATCACGTGAGCGTAAAAATTTTGTTGGGCACACCTTCAGATCATATTGTTGCGCGGCAAATCGGCGAGTCAGTCGCTAATTCTTTCCAATTCTCGTGTAACCTACGGCGGCTAAGTCGAAATAGGCGTGTTAGTAGAGATGGGACACTGCGCAGGCATTTTTTGAGGCTGCGCAGTGCAATTTTCATAATTCTGGTCAGCTGGCATAATTCTGGCCAGCTTTATAATC